TTGAAATATCAGTTGCTTGTAGGGTTCAGGGGATCTCGTAGTCGAGCAGTCTCGACTAGAGCTTTCTTACTTGTTTATTTTAATTATCGTCATAAAGCATGGTCGATTTATTCCCCCTTGTTTTCCTAAAGCGATTTTCAAAGAAGTCACCTAAATCCCAAAAACCGATTCCTAGAGTCGAATTCCACAGAAGTCAAACAACATAAATATTGTATAAATAAAACTTTGGCATAAATCTGTGTGGCATTGCAGAATACGAAAAACTTTGCGAAGTGTGGAGCTACCTATTTGATTTATAGCGCACGTTTCTTGCTAGCCAAGTCCCTACATCCTCCCTCGTTGGCATTGTTTTGCACTTTGTTGCAGCAAAGACAGACAAAAACAAAAAAAAACAATAAAGTTAAAAAAAAACAAATTTCTGCACTTTACAATTGCAAATGCATTTTCCATGGAACGTAAATAGAAGCTATTTAGTAAAATGTGCACGAAAAACAACAATCGCAATAATACGACTACTGCTACTACTAGAGCAACAAGAACAGCATCCCGGACACCAACAGATACCAACAGCACCAGCAGCAGCTGAGAAGCTGAGAGGCGTGGTAAAATGGGGAAGCTTTTCTGCTTTTGAGGTCAATGTACAAAACAGAGGCTGGCAGCATTTATTACGACTTAATACGCAGCTTGAGGGCTCTAAGGAGCGGCGGCAGAGCAGGAGGCGGAGGAATACAGAGCAGGGAAAAGAGCGGGACAGTTGGATGCATGGAAAGTAAGGGGCTTGAAAAAAGGGGAAAGAATCGCAGTTTGCCAAGAGAGGCTCTAATTTCGTGTTTAAACTGCTTTTCACACAGACACACGCATACATTGTTAACAATAATAATACAAGAAAAATGTATGTATAAAAAGAAAACAACAACAAACACGGCAAGGAATGTGCCACAGATGAAACAAGTGGAAAAAAGAAAAGGCAAAACCAAAGCCAAAGCAAAGGGCTGACAGCAGGCGGTGCAACACAGTCCTAAAATAGGGGAAGCAAGAGACGGACGGGGGAGGTAGAGGCGGGGAACCACAGAGTGGGGCAGGCAGCGCTTGCATGACAACAACAACTGCTGACTACAGCAACAAAAAAGAGAAGAAGCCAAACTGAATGCAAAAGAATCAAAGAAAAGAAAAAACACGAAAAGAAAAGCAGAGCAGAAAAAAAAACTGGGTTTAAAAAGTGACAAGCAAGAAAATCTAATTGCAGCAAGACGCAAAGCTGATACTCTAATAAGAAAGCATAAATTCTGAATAAATTAGTGATTTAATCTTTCATTGGCCAGACTAAATTTATTTTAATATTAAACTACTTTTCAGGCATGAACGTACAAATATACAAAGATCGTATACATAGTGATAAATAATATATGTACAATACTGATAAATAAATTTACATTAAGCTGAACACATATGACAATCAATCATTTTGATTGATACAAAGAGTTATCAATCAATCATTAAGAAAGTTTGATCGATCAAACCCTTCAACTGAAATCCCCTAACTTACTAGGTTTGCTTTCTAGCAAATTGGCAAACCCTATCGCAATCAGTCAATCGGTAAATCAATCAATCTCGGGGTATGTCAAGTCATATGAACCAGAAATTTAAAACAATTTACCATTTAATTCTTAGTCAAAAGTCTATTAAGCCTTATAAGTCAGTTTGCGATAGTTAGCCAAAATTTAACTGTTATATTTGTCCAAAATCAATAATTTCTGAATAGCCATTGTTTAATAATCTAAGTCCAAGTATAATAAATAAATATCAATTTAATTCATATATAAAAATTATTTGGTGTATTGTCGTATGCCAAATCAATCCAAAAATCAAGCATACCGTACTGAAGGGCATGTAAAACAAAAACAATGAGCGCATTTGCAATGCGGCCAACTCTGGCGGCTGCAGACGCTGCCAACTGCCTGAGAGGGCGGTTCGATGTCTCGTTTAAAATGGAGGCGTGGCCAGCAGTTTGGCAACGCGTTGGCATGTTGCAAGCCACATGCATAGCAGAGCAAATTTTCCATCAAGCGGCAGAGGGAAAGAGAAGGAAAAGCGGACCAAAAAAAGCTTGTGCTTAGCCTGTTCGACGCGTTTGTTTTAAGGCCACTTAGCTGAACTATTGTTGTTGATGTTGTTGTTGATGTTGTTGTTGTTGTTGTAGTTGTTGCTGTTACTGTTATTGTAGTTCTAGTGCAAATTAGTTGGCCACTCAACATATTCACTTTGGTAATCGAGTGTAATCGCTTTCAACGCACAAAAGGGGAAGGCAGCTGCTGGAGGCGCGGCCATTGAGAGCCCCACAAGGCAATCAGCTGCAAGAAAATGAATATGATTGTGGCTCCAGTCATATAGATTAGCGGCGAGAAACGGAGCCGCAGTCTAGCAGAGATTAATGTAGCAGCATTCGAGATTTACAAATTTCAGCCGAAGATAAGAATTGCTCTAGGTTAGTTCTATGATATGCAAATATATCGTATCGGCTTACCTCCGTAAGATTTTAATAATTACAAAGTATTTTTTATACTCATTCACGAAAGTGAGTGAACGCAGCTTATATCGGCGCTATCGTAGGCATCCAAATTTTGCAGATAGGTGTTACCATTAGCTCGTTCTAAGAACTGGCCAGAAGCCGTGAAAAATCAATTTCTTGTTGTTAGTAACGCCCGAATGCAACGTTCTTACTTAATTAATATTCAAATTATCATGTCTATAAAGCATTTACAATATTAGATATAGATAAGTCGAATAGTATTGAACAATTTTAAAATATATTTTTAATTTATTAGCTGAATGCTTTCTAACACAACTATAATACATTGATCTTCAGCTTGATAAGAGTCTAGACAAAACACCAGTTTAAACAAAACAAAAGCACTTAAAGCCCTAATTAAATCTAACATATAAAATAAAATGTGTTTTACCCAACAGCGAATCATTTCATTAGAAGCTTTCAAATGTTCTTTTTGATAAATAAGATACAATCGTATAGATACATTTTCGGCCCAAGTTTAAGATACATTTGAATATGCACTAAAAACAGAAGCACTACAAATATATCCTGTAAATGCTTTTGCCAGCGTTTGCATGCACTACGAATGGCCCTGCATAAGCTACTCGCGATTTATGAAGCGCGATGAGTTATATTTGCTATAAAAAACGCGCCATTAAACAATTTTGATAATTTATCTGACAGATAATTGTGCCGAAATGCGCAGTAAAGGCGATTTAATAAATGTATCTCTCGACTGAGTTAAGCACGACACGCGCAGCTCGCGCTGCTTTAGCTCGTCAACTGTGTGAATTTATGGTTTACAGATGCATACTTTTGTTGTATGTTAAGTACATGTATGTATATATTGTTTCTGTTGTTGTTGCTATTGCTCGTTGTTGATGTATCTACAATGCCAACCAATTTCCGCTCATTAAGAATGCGTAACGTTGCGCTTCGTATGTGCATGAGCGTATATATGTATGTACATACATATATGCATATATGTGTGTGTGCGTGTATCTCAAGTGCATTTGTATCTCAAAGACATGTGAAACATACGTTCAGACGATGGCAAATTTATGGTCCGTGGGCGCGATAAGCTTCCTGCATGCGCGCATCTTTTAGATACATATGCATCTGCAGCTCCTAGGCGAACTATTGCACTCTCACCACATACCCTCCAGCAGGAGTTAACTAGCAAATTTAAGGGTATAATACATTTTGCAAAAGTCTACGTAGCGAGAAAAAAGAGGTCTCTTTATATAGACCATATGTTGCCTAAGCTTTAGTCTTACATCACGCTCTGCTGAAGTTTCTATAGGATGGCAGGAACGATTCTGCAGCTGTATCGAATATTTCCAAGTCACGGTATCTTTCAGTCAAGCATTCCTTACTCTGGAGTCTACGTTCTTGTTCTAATTAATAGTTGTTGTTCTTCTCAGTGCTTTCAAATCATGCATAAATTGCAGTCTCCTTTGTCGCCGTTGTCAGCATCGATAAGTCGAGTATCAAGAGATCTGCGCGTTTCTGCTTCTGCTTCTGCTGCAGATTCAGTTTCTGTTTCAGTTTCAGTGTGCGCACGCAATGCACGCCTATCAGCTGTCCCATCTACCTGCTGCTATATTAAATCTTGTATCTTTTTTAGTCGCTTTGTATCTTTCGCTCTTTCACTCTTTTTTTCTTGTTTGCTCATTTGTTCGGCTGCCCTCGTCTGTGCGTTCGTGCTTTGCCTCGCATCGCAGTCGGAAATAATTTCAACTTTTGGTCGTTGAACTCTTTTTGATTTATTTATTTTTTTTTTTTTTAATTTTATTTTTCTTTTCTTACTCACAAAATGTATGCTTGCTTTGAATACCCTGCAGAATTTGGTCTGTATTGGTTAAAACCAAGTAAAATTTATGTTAGAAGCAAAAGAAGACGTAGCGGACGGCAATACTAAGCATATGTATAACGTACGTGTTTGAGGCTATAGTCTTATAAGTTTGTGTTTGCGTTAATAGTTATTTTATACAATTTTATTTTTTTCTATATTGGGATACCGATTTTCTATGCTATTTGATTATGAAGATGCGATTACGGATAACGCGGAAATATTTCTTTTGGCTAAGGATCCATTTCCATGTAGTTATGATTTTGTGAAAGATCAGAATATTCGGAGTTCAGGGTATCTGCTAGTCGAGCAACCGGACAGATATTGCTTATCGTTTATAATTTTTGGCGTTGCATAAAATTGTATTCCGCATATTTATTGAAGATTGCATTTTTTGGGAACTTTATTTGTTTGTTCGAATCAAACCAGTTCCCTAGCTTTTCAATATGTAAATTGAATTTCTTATTAATTATGATTCTCTTAAAATCCTCTCTTTACTATTGCCGTGAGCATTATTAGAGCCCGTTCTCATTTTGAAATTGATATTACTAAAGTGTATGTAATAGATAAAGTGTAAGTATGAACAGATAAATGAATAGAAAAATGCATATCCACAAGGCATCTGCTAGAAGATTGCATCCCAGTTTCTGTTTAATTAAAACGTAGGTCTTCTAATTAATTATATTTTACTAATTCAATATCTATATAGAATTTATTTTACATCAATGCTTAACGAATACTAAGCATGCTTTACAGTTTTTGGCTGAAATACACATATCCACTGAAATAAATGCTAAAATGGAATTCCGATTCTCTAACAAGCGCTGAATAGATCGCTGAGAGCCACATTTAATGATTTATAAATGTAAAATAATTAAAATATATACTTTCATGATTTCAAATGAATAATCCATTTCTAAGAAGTTTTTATTGTCAACAAAATATTTTTAATTCCGATTCGAATTTATTTCAAGCCCAACTCTTTGCTATCTACTCTGGCTGCAACTTTTGCAATTTTGACCTCAATTTTGTTTACTTTTAACCTTCTGCTGTTGCAATTGCCAAGAACTTCGCTCATTAAAATTGACGCTTTTTCTCTCTTCTTCTTCTTCTCTTTTTATTATAAACATTCAAACAAGTTGTTGCGGCATCTCTTTTAATGTTTCGCATTTGAATGTGGGGATGATGCGAATATTAACAGAGAATCAGACGCAACATAGCATACAAAACATTTAACTTTAATTATCGCTCATAAAGACAACAACAGCAACAACAACAACAACTCGATTGCAGTTTGCAGTCATTATTTTATTTTTATTTTTTGTTTTGTATAATCAGCATTTGCTGTTGTTGTTGTTGTTATTTTTCTGGTCTTTTCTTTGACTGCAGGTACAGGTTTTTCCACATTTTCCATGGGCGACCCCCGAGGCCCCAAGCGGCGACCCACTGCACTCCAATACACAGTTTTCCACAGTTGCTGCTAAAAGTTTTTTGCCAGCTGTTGTTTTTGCATTTGTTACTCTTTGGTTTGTTTGTTTGCTTTTGTTTTTTGTTGTTTTGCACAGTCATGCCAGCACGCCTCAATTGTCGGCACTGGCACAAACCCATACTCGCAGACAGAGAGAGATATATAGATGCAGATACAGCTGCAGTCAAAGATACACACACATAGGGACTGACAATGCGATATTGTGTAATCGCCCACGTTGATTTATCTCGTTTAAGTGACTCCAAAATGACGCCAACGCCAAAGCCGGCGTCGACTTCGACGGCGACGTCACAGTCGACACTGCCAGATGATGCTAAGAGCGTAATGTGTAATAACTCGCAAATTACATTCGCTTGTCACATACCCTGTACTCAGTGAACACTTCAAGAGAAGATTTTAAACTCTCAAATAGATTTTTTATCGAACAATTCAATTTCTTCCTTTCTCCTAGAGTATTTGATTGACCCTGAATCTTATTATTGACAAGAGAGATATTTGAAATATGTGGGGGAAAATAATCAATTATTTATTATTCTAACACACAACAATTTTAGTTTGATTTTATATTATTTGTAATCTCTGATTTCAAATAAGTAAATAAATAAAAAGTATTTTAATTAAAGCGAACCAATTGATTCCAAGTCTACATTTTATTGAATTTATCAAATCAAAATGAATTGGGATACTCGGCTATAACACCTCCACTTATATAATCCGTACGGTTATTGCGATGAAAATTCTGGTGCCCAGACAAACTTATATTAGCTAACTTATACGATTAGAGCGTCTTTCGGGTATAACGAAGGTCCTTGAGCGTCGTTATAATCAGATTCAGCTGTAGTCTAGTCGCCTTAATCAATGCTAAATATTTTGTGTCTTTCACATTCAATTAGTGTCTTTAGTTTATATGGAATTACTTGCTAACTAGTGTAGCACCATTATACTATCCATCGAATACGGGGTAGATCATAGTCAACCATAATCATTTGTGACATTCACATATATGTATATATATTTATGTATATATTTAACATGCAGTTGAAGTTGATGATCGCTGTCGCTTCTGTCCCGTCTGCTGCTACTCGCGTATATTTAGTCGTGCCTTAGTCGTGCATTTTGGCTTCTTAATGTTATGTTTGCAATTTTTGGCATTGCATTTGGCATTGTTTTCATAGTCGTTGCATTGTTTGGCAAGCCCCCAACTTGAATATAACTTCATGTCGTTGTTGCTATTGTTGTACATTTTTTGTCAACATGTAGCTGCACAAAAACTTGCAAATTTCTATATTTTTCTTCGATTTCTGTTGCTAAGTTCAAAATTAACTTAAGTTGAGCTAAGTTGAAATTTTGTGGTCATGATCATGACTCAGGACTCTAATGAAAACCCTCTGAATATTTGTATGTATTGTTTCGTTATTTTACTTCTAGAAGCTGATTTGAGACAAACTATAATGATTTAGTTCATTTACTCTGTCTTTTTTTCTCGTTTTCATATTCATTTCATTCTCTCATTTTTGTCTCTCTCTCTCTCTCTCTCTCTCTCTCTCTCTCTCTCTAGCTTTTCTTTTCTTCAATGATTTTGTCATTTCCCCTACTCCGAAATTAACAAACTAATCGGAGAAACTCGAAGAGCTTAAACGAAACTATAAAGCATAATTATACTTGACATTTCTATATGCATTTGCAGGGATATACCTTCAAAAGAGAACAACCGATATCATATGACTGTAATACCGGTTCTACAGAGCGAGCCCTATGGACCATCCCTATCTAATAGTTAGTCAATGATAGCGAACTCACCTGTCTGATGATTCTGATGAGTCGTAACGATCCACACAACGTTTCTTTATGGTTGTTGCAGTTGCTGTATTGATTGTTGTTGTTGTTGCAGTCTTTCTGGCGCCTTGATAGAGCTGAGATCGCAATGCATTGATATCCAATTTATCTTCTGCCGATGCTGTTTGCTTGGGTTTCGTCGTATTGTTGCTTGTTGCAATTGTTGCTTCCCTGCCCCGTTTCGTGCCCTGCACAATGCCTATGCTACCGCTTGTGGGCGGGAGCAGCAGCAGCCGCGTGGGCGTATTGAAGGACGCCTTTGGTGTGACTCGAGCGGCGGGCGGGGCGAACGAGAATCCCGAGGGACGTGCCGAGGGTGAGGCAGTTCCTGTAAAACTGCTCGAATTGACGCCGTTTTTCAGCTGATCAAACAATGACAAAGCCGCATTGGATGTTAAACTTGTCTTTGATGTTATTGTTGTCTTTGTTGTTGTTGCTGTGGTAGTTGGGGCCGTGGGCGTGGCTGTTGGTGCCTCGTTAACCGTTTCTTTAGTCTTAGTCGCTGTGTCCTTCGATGGCGTGCCAGACATTTTCTTTGCGTTGCTTTGCTCTTTGTTTTCGTTTGCTTTTTACTTTGTTTTCTTCTATGCACTTTTATTTATGGCTACTTTTGAGTGCTTATTTTCGTAACTGTTTCGAAAAGTTCGTTTTAATTACTTCCCTCTCTTGTTGTTGTTGTTGTTGCCATTTAGTTAGCTTACTAAAAATTGTTGTTCAAATACACTTTTTAGCCTCCTTCCTTAGCTAACTTTTCGTTAAGCTTCTTTTCGCATTTGCTTTAATTAAGTCATACATTGTTTATATAGTTTTTGTTTTTCTTATTTTTTTTAACTCCCTTTACTGATTAGGTTTGGTTTTCACTTATTTTAATTTTTAAGCTATATTAAAATAGTTGATTTAAAAAATATGGATTGATATTATAATTTATTTCTAAGATTCTACGGGATTACAGATAATCTTAACTCACTTTACTTTACTCTAATTTAGTTCTATCTTAATAGAGAGAGAATAAACTTATTTCCTAACCTCTATCAAAATAATATTTTTCCCGATTTCATATTATCCGATGAGTCTCTTCTCACCTTCCATATTCATTGTACGAAATATAAACTAATCAAATAATTGTTTCTCATCTTAACTAATTTTTGAGTCATTTTGCTACCTTTCTTATTATTACTTCAAATAGATTTTGTTTAAATTGGGCTTAGAACACAAATATTATTTTTCACTTTTCAACAGCTCCATCATTGATTAAATTATTATTATTGAAAACAATTATTAATATTGACATTTTGAGTGATAGGTACGCTTCACTTTACTACAATACAATGCAATAACTTCTGTAATATTATTCACCATTTCAACGTAACACTCATATACGTATATAATTTTTATTTTCTCTCTTTTTTTGCATTTTCTTCAATATACATCCGTCGATTATTTTTTACTTTTAAAAATTTGCATCACAAATATTTGCATTTTTAATATATAGACATTTTTTTTTTTTTTTTTTGACACAATTTCAGTTGAACTTTTGCATTTGATCAGCATTTATTAAAAACAATTATATGTAATTGAATTTTCAATAACTTTGCATTATGAATGGCTGCTAATTTTCTTATGCCTTTAATTCGTTTCCGTTTGTTGTTGCTTTTGCATTTGCAGTGCAAAAAACCAACCAAAAGCGAACAAAACTTTTTTGCAAGCTTTGCAAACAGTTAACCGGTTCTCGTGTCTCTAAAGCTTTACGTTCTCTGTGTTTTTTTTTTTTTTTTTTTTTTTTTTTTTTTTTTTTTTGTTTGCTTGTTGAAACAACGAAACCGAAACAATAAGAACGAAGTCACAAATCAGACATTTGTTTAACAACAAAGCCCAAGAATCTAAGTAAATGCATTCCAAACACACGCACGAGCACTCGTTCTCTCTCTTCCTCTATTTCCTTCAAACACACACTCCCTATCTCTTACTCTCTTTCTCTCTATCGCTCTCTTTGTTTCTCATGTGACGTTATCAATGCGTTGCTCGCCGGGGCCAAGTTGTCTATTAATAATATTAATAAAGCACACACCATTTTATACTATGTTTGTATTTTCGTTTTCGATTTCGCATTCATTTGTTGCAGTTGTTTTAATTGCCATGTAAAAATATCAGTCGAGCTGTCGTTAAATGCGTGAAACAAGGCGGCTCGAAAAACTGCGCGTTGACTCACACTGCCCCCGTTGAATGCGTTGCTTTGGCTGCTGGCCTCTGCCTGCGACTGACTGTCGCGACGAGCGCCGCATTGGTGTGGGGCCCGACACACGAAGAGCTTTAGCCAACTAGAACCGAGCAGCCAGCACGAAACGAGCGAAGTCAACAAGAACGAGCGTCCAACGAGCAACGACCGCAGCTTCGTGGCAACGCACGAGCGCCAAAACACCAAATTACGACCATATCCGACGATGCCAACATTGTTTTCTTGTTGTTCCTGTTGTTGTCTAGTTCGCCGAGTAGCGAATTGGTCGTGTAGGCTCGGTCGGGCGACCGACCAGAGACAGACACTGGCGATATGCAAGCGATGCGATGTTCACTTTTGATTTCTGTGCAGCGGCAGCAGGTTTGGCATCTCTGTTAGAGCAGAGGGTCGGACGCACGGCTGATGGACCAAGTGGCCAAGGGGGCGCAGGGGTATGCGATGGTGGGCTCTACAGGGAAGCCGGTTGTGCGACTGCTGTTGCTGTTTGTTGCGCCACAAGCCCACACGCTTTATTTTCTTTTTGTTTTATTTATTTATTTTTTTTTTCTGTTGGAAGTTTAATATTTAGTTTTCCAACAGTTTTTGCGACGATTGTCGTCGTTGTTGCCGAGTGGGTGGAATAACATAGCTGTGGTGGAATCATGTTGTATCTTAATCATATCTGTTACCTGTTGATATGAGCGTGAGAAGCGGAGTATAAGCAATCAGCAAAGCAACGGGTTCTCAACGGACGAGTATCAAGTAGATCAACAGCTCAATCCAATTCTATTTTGATCGTATCTTCCATTTAATCTACAGCTTGTCTAACAGAAATACTTTTGAATTTAAATTTTTTATTAGTTGATTTTGCTAAAATGTATTTATTTTTAATTACATGCAAACTCGGTGATTTTTTGTTGTATTCACACTTTTACTTATTTACAAATTTATTGCAATTAAAACTTTATTTTTATATCTTTTTTCTTTAGTTCTTATGAATTTTCTCTCATTTTTATTTAAATTTCAATTCGTATACCTTTGCTTAACCTAATGTTTCAGTTATCATGGATACTTCAACTACCGTTAAGTATATAATTTATAAGCCAGACAGCTGTTTGGCTTGAATTCGCTCACATTCCTTGCCCATTTGCCGGTGGTTTATTATTGTATGGAGCACCTACTGCAGCACTTCCTTAACCATGATCTAGGAATAAGAGCCCACGCTTTTTAGTTGCAGTTTCCTTTGCCCACACGAATCAATAATTAAGAAAAGTCAATTCAAAAGCAAACAATAACAAAAAACAAGTGAGAGCGTGAACAAGAGAGAGACCGCACAAACACAAGCGCACTCATCAACGTCTGTTATCAAACACCAACTACCCATACAAAGATACACACATTCGCTCAATCAGTCGCCAACACAAATCACGTCATGAATACAAATTATACATACATACATATACACACATACCAAAATAAAACCAACACCAGCGACAGCAACGCCAGCAGCAAAATCAAAGCCAACACGTGCTTTTATTACGTTACATGAGCAATTTCCCTGTCTCTTTCTCTCTCTCTATGCGCTATTATGTGTCTCAGTGTATGTGTGTGTCTGCTTTTAGTGATGCAACGCTTCTGACAAAGAGCGGAGTACTCGCTAGATTTTGCGAGAGAACAAGCTAGAGAGCGCACTATCCGTTAGTATATGTGAGCTGCAGAACTTGTTTTCTAGCTACGCTCTTGTTATTGTCGCTATAGTTTGATTTTGTGCTTCTAACTTCTGTCTGTCAGCACAGAAACCAAAACCAAGGCAAGGAAATGGCCAAATGCAGAAATTAGCTTTACCAGAAACTGTCGACACTTACACGCAAATTATTTGTAGCTTTCGCGATACTTTTCACTCTTCCGCAATTTCGAATTGATTTCATACACATGCACAAATCAACTACGACAAACAACGTGACTGCACCGATCAAGCAAAGAAAACGCACTGCATTAGCAAATTGAAAATTGCAAATGCACTGCTAGAGACGAGGAAAGAAAGAGTGAGCTATAAATCCCAAAATGCTGCAGTGACTCAAGCGAGGTACCTTTTACTGTTGGTTTTTGATGCTGATTGGAAATCATTTAATCGAAACACAGTATTAGTAGATATTTATTTTTCAATTACAAAAATGTATTAATTTCTTATTAATATGCATGTTCTACATCCAAAACATAGTATTAGGGTGTTAAGAGGTTAATTAACAGGGGTTGTCGCAATCAAAAAGTGTTAATGTAACTGAGAGCCCGCCACTGTTAAAAAACTCCGATTATCACTCATTCGTGTTCAATGCTCACGCCTTTTAACAGTGCACTTAACATGCTCGTGTTAATTTAACAGTAGAGCTGTAGCAATGAGCTTCTGAAAGGGGTAGTCGCATATGTTTCGAGATCATTTGGTACTTTTAACAGCCACCTACCTTTACGGTATTTAATATTGTAAATATTTTTTTTTTTATATATTTATTGTTATTTTTAATATAAAATATAAATCTTAAGTTTTTCCAAGTATTTTGGACTTTTTTTTAATAAAAATGTATTAAAAACTTGTATAATTGCGCTTTAGTTTGTCTAGAATACTGTTTTTAATATTATAAACATTAACAAACAAAACTTAATCGTAATAGGGGTACGTCGATATACCATAAAATAAATTAACTAGCTGTAAGGCAGAACACAGACGACTACACAAACAATATTACATGTATGTTCTATATATGTATATATGTAAATGTATGTACAATTCCTTTTTTATTTGACGTAGCAACAGCAAGATTTCAGGTCTAAGCGCATTTTGGTGGGTTGCATAAATAGAAATCTAACCTAAAAATGCGCATCCTGAATTTTGGTGGCAACTGTACTTACAACCAGTTTTGATAATTTCACTATATTTGATACGTCTTAAAGACTTTGGCAGACTATGTCCATACAGAGGTAGGTATGAGGCCCTCTTTGCTGGTCCCGGGCGGCGTTAACACCTCTTTATTGAGGAACTCCAGAGGCAGATTAACCAGATGACCCTAGAAATATATTTCAGAAAATTAACAAAGCTTTTTTTTTTATAAATATTACAAAATAAAAACATAGGAAGACTCATGAGATCGGTCTGCCAAATTTAAGCGAGATTCTAAAAATAATTGGCAAACGATTTTCCAATAATTCTACTTCTATAATTTTCTCCCCCACGCTACTCTCCTTTCCTTATGTAAATCTCTGGTACAGCACGTAAAATCCCACCTGAATTTCCGTGGCCCGCTTGGCGGCCAACTCTGGCTCAGTTTTCGACATCGGCGGCTCCTCCTGATATTTGCGCAGACTGGCAAAGGTTTTCACGAAATCCGTCGGAATGCACTTGAACACCTCGTCGTAGATCTCTGTATTTCTCGTCGATATACGACGCCAGGTATTGTGCCAGAACTGATCGCAAATCGGATCACTAACGTTAACGTCAGAGCGCACCGAGCTATCCGGATCCAATAGGCCTGGAACAGAGAGCAATCAATAGGAGTTATCTATGAGATACCAAATCTCTGGATAGCCCACCTAGATGTTCTTTGAACAAATACTTTCGCAATCTTCCTGCGAAGATTCCACTTGGATACTTCTTGCCATTCATGCGTCCGTCTTCGTACTCCTCATCCATGATAATGGCGGCGATTTCCGAATCCCGTTTGCCAATCATCGAGCGATCGTTGATATTCGCCGAGCCACAAATTACGACTCGATCATCGACAATCAAGAGTTTGGAGTGGACGTAGATCAGTTCCGTGATCGGCGTATTATTTAGATAGGAATGATTTCGTAGACTGTGGAAGGATATATAGTTCTCGGGCTGTGTGATGCCCGCCTCCTGGAGGCGTGTCAAAATTGCAGTGCGACCTCTGAAACGGAGACGAAGAAAGATACAGTTAGGGTGAGAGACAGAGTAAAAGCTCTGTAAGAGAATAAGCAAGGAATTTCCAAATATCCATATAAAGAATGGAATTCCTTACTTTAGTAACAATAGACACGGACCTGGATATGGATGCATAGTTCCAATGGGTTATAGCACGCACTGCGATGCCCGTACTCCCGCCCACATCACCCTCAAATCCTGGCAATAGCGGCATTATCACATAGACACGAAACGGTTTGCGTTCCCTAAAACAAATTCAGATAAATTAGGTCAGACTTTGTTCCAAAGAATACAATTCATAACAGATCCTACATATTATATATCTTACTAGGTAACAGATATTATATATTAATATTTATATATAAAATATGCACCTTTTATATCAAAGATTGTGTACATCTAGTTCACAAATCATAAATATTAGTTCACTGTTCTTACATATAGGTAAATATTCCTACTCTTCCAATATATCACAGATCGATGAATGTAAGATCCTATGTGTAAAAGATTCATTAGACGATCTAATGAATCAATGATTTATTAGTTTAATAATCCTGTAAATTTTATAAATTTTGTACATTCTATAAACTATGTAACTCACTTGTGGGCACGCACGATACGTTTGAAGAGTGTCTCCCCGATCTGATTTCGCACATTGAACGTTGCCGAGACGCCCAAGCCCAGCTGCATTGTGATAAAGAACTGATTCTCTATATAAACATAATGCTGGGCTTTCGTAATCGTCTCGATGTAGGCATCGTGTATGCTCTGCTCGACCAGATCCGGCTCGATGAAGCCGCAACTCCAGGCCGAAGCGCTGCGCAGCAGCTGACATGTGACTCGCTGCTGACGCCGCTGCTGCAGCTGCTGCAACTGCGCATTGAGTCGAATCTGGTGGTAGCTCTTGGGCATCAAATAGGGATAGCGCACGTTGTCTCGCAGCTTCTCCAGCTTCATGGCATTCCAGCGCTGTATAAAGTGGCGGGCTACATCGCGAGCGGAGGCGCCGACCACACAGAGGCCGACGTCATGCCAGGGCATGCGGGGCGTGGTGGTGCGGTCGATGATATCCACGAAGGGCGCATTCAGATTCATCCAATCCTTGAGTATAAAGTTAGAATAGTCCTTGCCGAACCAATACTTTGCCTGGCCATAAAATTCGCTGCGTATCTGTGTGTTAACCTCAGCCTCAGACCCCGCACCAGCTCCAGCTTCAGCTTGAGCTCCATCTCTAGCTGCTGCTGCTGAGCTGGAGGTTTGTGCCATATCCTCCTTGCTCATCGCTGTTTCGGCTGTTTCTATGCAATAGATGGCAGCACCCGCTCCTGCCTCCGGCTCCGTCTCTGTGCTCTCCGTCACTTCGCTCGTGGTCAATCGCTGCATAAAGTCTTTGCCCTTGCGTGCGCCCTTCATTGCATTGTTCTTCAGGCGATCGAGCATATTCCTGCGCTCCAGCTCGGGTGTGTTCAGCTTCATGCCCTCCAGCGCTGTGGACTCCAGAGCCAGCTCGCTGGAGGCTGCCGAGAGCATGTCTGGAATGAGCAGGCGGTCTCCAGGCTTAAGCACTCGCAGCTCCATGCCCGCCAAGTTGGGCTCCTCGTGAGCTGGCTGAGTGCTAGTGTCCTCCTTGGCGGATGGCGTTTCGTAGTGAGCATTGCGCGAGGACTTGCGTGAGCCAAAGGCCGAGTCCTCATCCTCCTTGTTGAAGAAGCCGCTTGGCGTCTGTCGCGTGCTGCCCGAAACTGACCCCGTGGAAATACTGCCCAGATCCGTCAGCCGATGCGAGCGATCGTCCCAACGACCGTAGCACAGATCTAAGCCGCCTATAAATGCGTACGTCTGATCTATCACAACAATCTTCTCGTGGTGCGCCCACAGCAAGATGCCCCCACGCGCATGATCCGGATGTCGCATCACCTGAAACAATATGAATAATGAAAGGGAACTATGGAAATTCGAATTCAAGCACATGTCGTACCTTAATATTCTCGTGCTTGGCCAGTGTGGACTTGCTGTAGTAGCTGTTGATGCCGAGCGCCATTTCCACCTCCTTGTAGAGCAGCACAAACACCCGCACGCCCTGCTTGGCCTTGCGCAAGAGGATCTTGTCCAGTCGCCAATAGTCGCCGTCCAGAGCGGGGCGCTTCATATAGATCTCGGGGCTGAGCCACCAGTCGGCAATGTAGATTTCCTCCGTGGCCGCCTCTAGGCCATCTGCCACTGCGGCCATGTACTGGGCTCCATCCACGTACCAGACAGCCTGGGTGTTCGCGCGCATAGGAGCGTACGACATGTGCGGGTTGGGGCAGGTGAAGTCGCGGGCGTAGGTGTGCGCCGTGTTCTTGAGGTATTGCATCCACTCTTTGCACTTGCGCCGCGTCCAGCACTTGAGCACAATGTGGCGGCTGTTCGTGAGCACCTGCAGGCCTTTGCGCATGCCCGTCTGATAGATGCCCGTGGAGACGTCGAAGCCCTGATCGAACAGGATGACTGCTCGAATGCTGCCATCTGTGGGCCGAACGTAGCCGAAGCACGTCTCCTTCACAAAGAACCAGCGGCTGCGCCACGTCCCGCAGACCACGTCCGAGCAGAAGTAATTGCACCGCACACAGCAATTGCGCTGAAAGCACCCGAAAAAATTGCAGCCCGCCTGGCCCGGCCTCGTCGAACCCGTCCTCTTCAATATGATTCCCTCCTTGCCCTTGATGCCCAGACCGGAGACGAATGACACATTAGATACCTCCACAAAGTTAAGCTGTAAAGTGAATGCGAATAACATTAGACTGAGCTCATCTAGGATGTGAATCGTAGCTTAAAGAGAAAACGATCACACATACTTCCCAGCCAAACCTTTCACCTTACCTACCATAACTCATCTTAACTAGTGAATTCAATTAAATATATAATATAATATTCATTCAATGTCTAAGTCAAATTCAATCTTTCTATAACTAAATATCTCATTCTCAGTCTACTCACCGTCTCGTGATGGTATCTATATAAACTAATATTGAGTAAATTGTACAGATAGTCCTCCAGCTGTTTGATCCGCACCGGTAAATGTTCCACGGTGATCAAGCTTTCCGGACGATTGGGAAAACGTGGAAGTTTTCTTTTCTTTTTCTTGTGTTTCCTTTGACTGCGACGCGGCGTGAAGCTGGCGAGGATAGAACTGTGGGTGGGACTGATGATATTAGCCACGATTCCAGTGCCAGCTCCATCTCCACTGCTACTACTATTGAAGTTGTTGTTGTTGTTTGTGCGATTTTGACTATTGCTAATTGGAGTGCTGGAATGCTTGACTTTGGTATGGGCGGGCAGATCCTTCAAAGTGGACTCATCGGCCATTTGACTCGCAGCGGCCTTCAAGGTGGTGCGCTTCTCCTTGTGCGCTCGACTTGGAAACGGTATATTTAACGAGGTGCGGAAGAAACTAAGCTGCTGGTGTAAGGAATTGAAGTGCTTATAGCGCCTCTTAATGGTCCACTTGAAAGGGCCATGCGTGAGCTCGATGGTGTATCTGTAAGCAAGATGTCATGAGTAATCAAAAAAATGCCTTAGACCTATCATTCAATCAGACATAGAACATCAGAAATAAAACGGATCATTCATGCACCCCAGGGACTGTCCACCTTTCAGCTGATCTGTTCAGTCACACTTACAAATTAGGATTAAGCAGATGAGTCGTCACACTCCGCTCCGTATCCACAATTCGCACATGTATCTCTCGGCCCGGTATGAACACCTTGCGCTGAAACGAGTTGAACTTCACGCTCGCCCCATAGATGCTGATGAATGGTATCTCTTGGCGAAGAAGCACGCTATTCTCATCATCGAACTCTTCATCATCGTCGTCCGTCTCTTTGCGCTCTACCAGCACCGGTTTATCGCCCACAGTCGATAAAATCGTTACAGAATCGGGAAACGCCAGCGTCTCATCATATTCCGAATCGACCATCGAGAATTGAAACTCGGGCAGGCAGCGACTGTGATGTGCCTGCTCATCTTCGTCTATGGCATCGTCGACACAGTCCTTGAATACATCGTCCCCCTCATCGTGATGCTCGGAATCAGCCCCATCGTTTCCATCATCGCCCGCCAGAGGATCGCAATGGCCGTGGGGCGTGTAGGGCGGCACGGCCCCACTGTTCCTAGCATCATTCATTGCCTCGTATTGTGCGAAAAGTAAGGAACTATCTAAATCATCATAGCCACGATTGATATAACCACCGAACTGACTGGGTCTATACACGTCATCCGCAGGATATTCAACTGCAACAGAAAGAAATATTCATGAATTGCAAAAAGCTTTTAACGGTTTCTAAATATAGTAAGTCTTATATAAAAATAGCATTTGTAATGAGTACTTCAAAGTGTTAACGGGGACACTAAATATTTTCAGTGAATGAGCGCAACTCAACAAATTGGTTTCTGTAATGGGACAAGTATCGCTAAAAGCATTTGATGACTCAGCCTCTTTGTTCGGTTCACAATCACCCCAACAATGTAGATAAAGACGTTAGCAATATGATAATAATAATATAAAATATATCACTATCAATCGTTAAATTCAGTATTATTGTCTCTGAGAGACTTTGGCATTTCTGCTTACACAAGAAACATACATATGTACACACACCCACACAGAAAAACATAGGGATGCAAGCATAAGCATGCATTAGCTGCAGTGCGGGCTTGCTATGGAAACTTAATTGTTTAATGACTTTTCTTGTTGATGAACTAGGCTCGTAACATTTTCAGGTCGCTATTACAACAGTAAAATACGTGTTTATACCAAAACACATGTTTCTAGTATTCGAAATACGCCATTTACAAATTTATGGGAAAGAGGTGACTATAGGGGTGGGGTGAATTATATAAGAAACCGAAATTGTATAAAATGCATCTGAATATATGTTTTAAATTTGGACACTAACCAGAGAGCTCTCTGGTTATGGATTTGGAATCTCTAGCTCGAAACGTGTAGGAAATATATTTAAATAACCAGCTTTCGATAAGGGTTTCATTCGATAATGAAATATCGGGAATGTTTTCCGATTTTTAGAGAAAAACTCAATAGTTTTTCTCTAGCTCTTATATATTCTGCGATCAGCGCATTCATACATACGTACGGACGGACAAAGAGACGTACATCGATAAATCGACTCAGCTCGACGACCTGATCAAGAATATATGTAGTATATACTTTGTGGAGTCTACCACGTCTCCTTCTGCTTGTTACATACCTTTCAACAAAACCATTATACCCTGATTTCCTATTTTCAATGGGTTCGTTGTATAAAAAGTTCTAATATCAATAAAAAAAGGAGCATTAATCAACTATTTTAATCTCTTTTGTAAATTGACAGGTAGAATTAAATTATCTAAAAATTATATAATATACACTTGCTTGCAGAGCTCTGCGTACACTTGCAAACAAACCCATATTTCTAAGTTTACATGCATATTATATTGAATATAGAAGACTTAAGGCAATAATTTTTTTTTTATAACAATTTTCATTTATTTATTAACATAATTATGTTTTTATTTTTTTATTAAAACTATACCTAACATTAAAAAAAAAAAAAAAAAAAAAAAAAAAAAAAAAAAAAAAAAAAAAAAAAAA